TTTGAGGGCAAGTGATAATTCCTATCACGCGTGAGGACTGATGGTAGCCACATGTGATTTGTCACCTGTTATATTATCACATATTGCCATATTGAGTCTTAAGTGATCTCAAGCTAAGTTAAATTTTTTCAAATGCATGATCCATGATCACACATCCATACTTTTAATCATGCAAAATCTTGCTTAAGTCTATTGCATTTTTATAACATCCTGAATCTCTTAATCTCGAGTTTAGAGGTTAATTGAGGGTGGAGTAGCAATTAGTGTGGGATTAGAGATATGGGTGGAAGGAGTGCATTTTGGGTCAATGCAAGTGTGCATGGTGAGAATAAATCTCACTCTGCTACCTCCCGCAGCTTGTACTACATGTGCTACAATGCATGGTCCAAAAAATCACTTCTTAATTTGTGAAATCTGGTGATTTTCAGAAGTAAAAATCTAAAAAACACATAAGAAAGGGAGAGAAGAAGGGCTAAAAAGCTAGAGTAAGCTATTTTAAGCCATTAGAAGGTGATTCTGACTGATAACTTATCAAGTAAACTACGTATAACTTTTACCTTCTATTTTACACAAATTTCTCTAAAAATTAGTTATAGTAAAATTGAACCAATAAAATTTAAGAGGTTTGATTCTTATCCAATAGTAATAAAAAGGCTCTAGGAAGTTAAATTAGAGCTTTAAGATTGATTTAAAGCTGAACTGTAGAGCTTTAAACTCGTAGGCTTAATTTTAGCCCTTAGAGAGAGAAAGTTAGGGTAGAAATTGTATTTGAGTGAAATAAGACTAGTTGAGGTAATGTAAATCAGTAATTAGGTAGTAATGGACCTAGAATAGAGAAATGGAAAAGACTTTATAGATGAATATAGCTCTAAGTAGTAAATATGAGTTTTTGGTTAAAATGGACTAAATGACTCAAATATGCCAAATGTGTTCAAATTGGCACATTAGATGTGTGAGTAGAGAAAGGAAGCTTAAGATAAGCTATAGAGGTTTTTGAAATCCATGGGTAACCTTTCTAGTGATAGAAGACTTAAGGTAACTGAATAACTTCCTTTATTTGACTATTTATTGTAAATGTATGTTAGTATGCTATGTAATACATGAACTTGTTTTGGATTAAACATGTTTTATAATATTGTGTGAATGTTGCATTAAATAGCTTTTGATTGAATAAAAGCATTGAAATGGGTGTTTTCAAATGGTGCGTTAATATATATATATATATATGCTATGTGTGAGATAATGAGTAAAATGGTAAATGGAAACCTTAAATAGTTCAGGAAGCATGATCATAGGAGTGGGAGTTCACTTGAGTGGAGGAGATGATAAAGACCATATGGCAAGGTTTTCTTAGTACCTGACAGGGTGCGGTGTTGGAAATAATTCTCCTTAATGTCTTATAAGGTGCAGTGTTGGAGAAGATCTCCTTAGTACTTTTGAGAAGTGATGTTGGAAATGTGAGACTCCTTAGAGTCCATGTGATACAGTGTTAGAGACAACGACACCTCATTGTGTGTATTAGGAGAAACCATAGTCTATATGTACGTTAGAACATCTTCAGTCGAATGATTCTACCATTGCAGGTGAGCTCAAGGCCAATGAGATTGTACATTGGTTTAAGGCGAGCCTATGGTTTCATGTCAGGGTGATTTGGAGGTTTGATTGGTAGTGATCATGCCAATAGATGCTATGGAATGTTATGCGAAAGTGGTGAAGAGTTGAGAATAGATATGTACTACATGATTATGACTGGAAGTGAGATATGTGATATAAATGCTATTTTAATGAGATTTAAATGCTTTACTTCTATATAGTTGCATGTGATAGTCAATAGGAGTGAGTTATTCTATTTCTAAGATTTTTATCTCACCCTTGTGGTTATATGTTCACAGGATCAGGTAGTGATCAAGGTAAAGAAAGAGAGTCTAGATCGACTTAGAGTTGAGAAGCCATGTATACTCAGAGTTGTATAATGAACTAAACTAAGAAACTTGTGTATATGTGTGTAAATGAGTTGCCATAAGGTTGCATGCATAATTTGAGTGGTATTTTATGTAATCTTGGCATGATTGAATGTATATGTGATGAAACGAACTAAGGGGCTATGATTTGAGTATGTTGTGATGAAATGATTGTTTGTGTTGGTGAATCTTAAGCCTAAGTAAAAGATTATGGTGAAATGAACAATTTAGGGCTAAAATTGTATTGTAAATGTGTTATGTATATGAATGTATGGAGAAATGGCCAAGTAGGCCAAGTTATGCCAAAAAATGGCATTTTGTGCAAAATTATAAAATGCGAAAATTGGCTGTAGATGGTTCAAATTTCAATATATGTGTATGATTGTGATATAAGATGATCAATTAGCTATATTGGGTCTTTTTGGATTTGATTTAAGGCCTACAGTGGTCTAATAAGAGAAAATGATCAATTTGAGTGCTTGAATATGCAAATTTTTTTAAAAAAGTAACTTTTTACACTCGAGCATCCAAATTTTAATTAGACCATTAGATAGTATCTAAACCTATCTTATTAGTTAGCTTATGAGTTAAGCTACGTGTGTGCACTTAAATCATTCCAATTGGACATTGTATGTGAAAATGGCGTTCAATGAAAGTTCATCATTTTTGGTGTCAAAATGATAGTAGAAATTCACATAGGCGTGCCGTGGCATATGGTGACACATGTTATGGTGCATGACACAGAATAGGCTAAGCGTGTGGCTCTGTGCCATATGCTGTGGCACATGTACTACACGCCGTGGTGCATGGACAAATTCCCATATGATGTTTGTGATTTTAAAGGCATGCATTTAAAAAAGGAATTCTTATGGGTTGTGTCTACTACGTATTAGATGAGTGTGTAATTGCTTCCGCAATGTATTTCTCTGATAGGGTACGATTTTACAAAATAAGTCTTTAGCCAAAGCTTTTCAAATGAGATTTAATTATTATAATTGAGGTATTGATGTGGTAACGCTGTTAATCTTCTCCTATATCTGGAGGATATAAAAGGAGGTTACAATTTTCACACGTGATTCATCCTTCCGAAGGGACTAAGTTTGGAGTTGGTAATTTCATGAGTGATAGTTTTCTACTTCTGTGTGAGTTTTGTTCACAAGAATTAGTTTTAGCATTCTGCCAGCCATTTCATGTGTAAGAGCATAGTAGCTTCACGCAAGTTCTGTCTTATAGAAGTGAGCTTAACTTTCTGTAAGCATTTTCATGTATGATGATGAGTTATTTACACATGAGTTTTTGCATACAAAATTAGTGTTGGTTTTTTATAAGCTAAACCATGTGTGAGAGCTGAAGGTTTCCACACAAGCTTTTGTACTCAAAATTAACTATATATTCACATATGCAAAACCATCCATGCATGAGAGATCATGAGGTTCACGCATGATTTATCACATACGCAGCTGGAACATATTAAGAGCAATTTCACTTGTGATTCAGTAGGTCACTCATAAGAAATTGCGCCAGCCGATAAAAACACTAGTCCAATAGTCTAACAATTACCAAAACTATGTATGCGATATAATTCAAGTCTGAAGAGAACTCTTGATTCTTGAGCAAACTTATCTTTATCTAAGCATTGAAAAAGCTTTCAAATTGTATTTAAATATCTTGTATTCATTCGTCATTTTTGAAAAGAATTGTGAAAAAGCTCTCATAAGTTTATAAGCTTTCGACTGTAATTTATCTACTCTTTAAGAGAGTTTCTGTAACACTTGCCCCGAGTGTTATCCAAAAATCACACAAGTCAAATAAACTAAGTGTGGTTAAGGAGTTAATCCTAAAACCAACTTAGGAAACAAACCATTTAAATCACTAAGAAAATATACGATTGCAAAGTAAACATTTAAAACCTAAAAAAAAATTATAGGTTCTACCTATAGCGCACGGAAGCAAGTTAGACAAAAGAAGGGTAAAAATATGCTGTCATGACAGCATTAAATTGCTGTCATGACAGCCCTCCCGGTTCAACTTCTGGGAGGCGCCGTTTCGCCTTCCGATCTCCGATCGAAGAAATTTTAAAGCTCACAAGTCACATTCAAAGGGTACTATAAGTGTACTAAATTTCAAAAAGATCCAACGGTCAGATTGAAAATTGGACATGTTACAAATTTAGTCAATTTTGCTGTCATGACAGCATGAAAAGCTGTCATGACAGCACTTCCGGACCAACTTCCGGAGTGCACCATTTCATCATCCGACCTCTGATCGGAGTGATTTCAAAGCCCACATGTCACTTTTTAAGAATACTATTAGCATACCAAATTTTGAAAAGATCCAACGGACGGATTGAATTTTGTGCAGGTTACAATATAACTACTGTAGCTGTCATGACAGCAATTTAATGCTGTCATGATAGCACCTCCAGACCAAATTTCGGAGTGCGTCGTTTCTCCGTCCGATATCCGATTGATGTGATTCTAAAGCCCACACGAAGCTTATAAAAGGTTTTACTTGTGACCTAAATTTTAGAGAAATCCAACGGTCAAATTAAGATTTGGACACCCGGATGCAAAAGTGCAGCTTTTTGGTAAAAACTATTTTCAAAATTGTCCAAATCTCATCCTAATGGTCACAAACCTGTGGGAACACTTTGGACACATCAAATAAGATTAAAAACACCTGATAGAACATTCAAATGATGGAAAATCCCCGTACATCAAAATTTGACCACCCGGGTGCCATTTCGTAAAATGGACCCTAAACCTCCAAAATGCACAAATCATACAAGGGTGGTCACAAATCAATCTAAATACCATGTATTTATATAAATACATATGCTAAACATTTTCACTTGGCTCAGAGCTCCTTGTGGGGCCCACGCACCCACTCTCTCTATCCAAGGTGTATGTTTGCCCATAGCACACCATTTGCAATGCAACCACTTTGCATTTGCTTATAAAATCACATATATATCAAAATAAAGATCTGCTTGTAATAGAAACTTGGTCTGCTAAGTAAATCCATCAAAACCACACACCATAACCAAGTTTCCTAGCCACAAGTCTGCAAACAGACAAAAATTCATACACAAGCACACAATCCACACATATTCACACACACATACATAATCATATCCTACTGGCACCCTAATCTTAAATACATTACAATATATTTGCTCAAAAGAAAGGGGTTGCAGTTCTTTACAAATCACAAGCAAACCCCTAGCTTTGCTCCTTTCCCCGTCCACCACTGGATCCTTCACCTGGACCTGGAAATATTGAAAAGAAAGGGGTGAGACAACCACAGTCTCAGTAACAGAGAAATCTACATTGATTATTACAAAGTAAGCCATAATCAAATAAATGAATAATAAATTCAACATAGTATATAATTTAGCCATTTAAAATGTATGAATGCATGACCTAGGCCGGTATGGCCTTTTATGACCAATAGAATGCCCCCTGGCACTCTTTAACTCACAGGTAAACCTTATACCTACTTGGACCTCCACAGGCACAAAACATAATCTAAAGCATGATCTAATCCACCGAACCGCCTATGCCCCTTCGACGTAAATCCTGAGCAGTCAAAGCTAACTCCCTCCCAGAGCCAGCCCGACTTACTCTCCATGTGAGGGCTACCTTGGCCTAGGCACTCAACCTCACACTTCATATGTCGGATTCCCTCCCCCACTGAGAGGTGTCGAACACTCAATACACTAATCACTTTAGTGCACTGAGCCCACAATACGTAAGACAACACTGAGTACTGACAGTGTGCCATAGAATATCAAAAATCCACACCTTCTCATTGGTGAACTCCCACCGAGATCATGCCTTTTACTTTTGTCTACCTTTCCTAAGTATTGACCATTCAACACTCTAAAGTAGTATAATATTTATAAATCTCATTTCCATAAAAACATTGTTATTAAACAATTAGAAAACATATTTGCACTATAATCAAAGTAGTACCCCATAACCCCTTATAAAGCACATTTAATCTTTGAAAACATGTAATGCATGATAACTAGTAATATTTATTCAAAAATAGCTAAAACAAAGTAATAAGAAATATAAATTCCCCTGTTACCTCAACCCTTTGGTACCAAAAGGGTTCTCCTTGTACAAAATAGGGCTCGGCTTGTTCCTTACTTTTCAATAAGTTCCACCAACAATTTTCTACAACATATAAGTGATCCACATCACTTATCATGACAAATAGCATTAAACTCATACCACACAACTTGGGTCAATGAGTCATAATCCACCCTAATGGTCCATGTATTAAACCAAACATTCACATAGTATCACTTAACCACCAAAACCATTTATTAGCCATCATTAGGTTAATTTCCAATTTTATATAATTTCTTATCAATTAAAAACTTTCACTTAGTGTCACCAACTTTCACCATTAGCCCTTATAATGAAAACCAAACCTTAATTTAAATCTTATTGGGCTCAAATAGAAAATTATAACTAAATCAATAAGCTTAAACCATTGAAGAGCAAAAACCCAATTTTTCAAGGTTTATCTTGTGCCCAAAACACCTCTTTTCATCCAATTATTCACTCAAAACATTAGATCACTATATAGAAACTCAAAACATACTCCCTAGGATCCAAAGAAACAAAAGCTTACAAGAATAAAGCCTTTGGGATCAAAATTCAAAAATCTCCTCTTCCAAAAATTGAAGAAAATCAAGAGAAAGAGAAGAGGATTGAAGTAGGGAGTTTACCTATCGTGTAGTCGAGCTCGCAACGGTCGCAAAGACTCCTAGATCCAAGCCTAACTCCCTCCCTTTCTCTTCTCTTCTTCCTCTCTCCCTCTCATACGTTTCCTTTCCTTTCCTTTCCAATTCAATTTCTGCGTTTCTGCATCAATTTTGGTCTTTAAATTGCTGGTCAAAAAGTTTGGGAAAAATTACAAGAAAGGGCCCAACATTTTTTATTATTGCACAAAAGCCCGGGTCCACTTTGGTAATTTTTCCATAGTTAAAAATCAAATAAAACCAAACTTTTGCTTAGTAAAATTCAAACTCTGGGCCTCTATTAAATTATTCTAAATTTTAATTTAATTATAGATATTTTATTTTATTTTTATTTATTTTTTTAAATAAATTTGAGTCTTAAAATTTTTAGGATGTTACAGTTTCATTGTGAAAGTTTATCTCATTTATATGAAATCTTGAAAAGGTACTTTTCAAGTGATTTTAACAACTTGTTGGGTTGTAGCAAGGTTTGTTAGTTGATTCAAGACAACAGAAGTCTTGTAAGTTGTACTATAGTGGCAAACACATATTGAAGCTTGTAAATTTAATTGAAATATCAAGTGTGATGTTGAGGACTAGACATAGACCAAGCTTAGGGCTAAATTAGTATAAATCTTTTACGTCTCACCTTCTTCCATCATACCAAAGCATTTCACTCTTTTAAATTTTCAAAAGTTTTTAATTGTTAGCCAATTCACCCCCTCTTAGATGCTATCTTATTAAAAATTTCTACACAAAGGCGAACTAAAAACTAAGTCAAACTAGGATACTTAAGAAAGTGTTGGCTTTTTATTTAATTACTCCCAAACTAAAATAAATTTTAAAAATATAATTTGACCATTCAACAACTGGATATAAAGTTCACTTTGTCAATTTTTCTTGTACATTTTCTCAAAAGTTTATTTTTAGACCAAAATACTTCTAGTGCACTAAACCTAGACACTTATGCAATTTTTCAAATTTAATGCAATGAGTGCACTTTGAGATGATAAATCATTAATAAAAGGGTCCTAATTGACAAATAAAAGTGTGTAATAAATGTGTTCTATCACCTATCCTACACATTGCTCATTATATGTTGAGGAACTCCCAAAGGGGTAATAGTGAGGATGGTAAGGGGCTAATTCAAGTATTGTGCCAATAACTATTCAGCAAGCAATTGCCTAACAATATAGGACAACTCATCAATTTTCCTATCAATGATATGAGCATCATGATAAAGCCTAGACAAACAAAAAGAAAATAAAAGGAAGCACAAAGTCCTCTCAAGTATATGATCAAAATCATTAATTTTTTTAGTAGATCCTATCCTTATTAAGAGAACAAACAAAAATAAAAGAAACTACCTAAAACAAGTAAGGAAAAAAAAAATCAAAACATCAAATCTTGAAAAAATTGAAAAATAACCTAAAATTAAAAAAAGTTAATTGAAAATATGAAAAGTGATTATAATGATGGAATTTGACCAAATCAAGGGTCACTTGATAGCTAAAGTTGAGAGTTTCACTCGATACTACCCAAAATATAAAGATATTGACCTTTGGAAAAATTAAGGCATGTGAGAGAAAAAATTCCAGCAACATAGAAAATATATTGGTAACCAAAATGACCAAATTAAAGCACAAAACAATAGGAAAGTGAAACAAAAAAAAAAGCAAATGCTAATCTTCCTAATTCAACTAGTTAACACTTTAGACTTCCCGATAACGGTGCCAAAATTTTGACACTACTATCAAATAGCACCAAGATTAATAAAAACTAAATTTTATAGTAAAACATAACGTAGGTCATCTCTTTAAGAGTCAATGGATTAATTACTTAAATTAGGATTATGAAATGTTAAATAATGGGGGGATTTTTTTGTAACAAAATTAATTTTCAAAAATTAAATTAAAATAAAATAAATAAAGCAAGTTCAGTTGAGGAAACTACCAAGCACATGCAACACAATCAATCATAACCCAATCACCTAAACTTAATCTTCCTCATCTATAAAATAAATTGAATTTATTTAGCCTTATTATTCTAATTTTATTATATATTTTTTAAATTATCATTCAAGAACTAAACAAGAATTAATTCATGAATTAATTAAAATCCCCTTTAACCTACAACATAACAATTGTTCTAAGTTAGCCACACTAAAAATAAAGTATGAGTAATCTCCCAAGTCAGGCAAATTGCTTTTATAACACTATATCAATCAATTATAGTAAGCAAAACCTTAAATAAACTATGATGGACCCCATGTGTAATGCTTTTCCTGAGTGTTATCCAAAAATCACATAATTCAAATAAACTAAGTGTGGTTAAGGAGTTAATCCTAAAACCAACTTAGGAAACAAATCATTTAAATCACTAAACAGATACATGATTGCAAAGTAAACATTTAAACCTTTTTAAATAAAAAAATTTATAGGTTTTACCAATAACGTACAGAAGCAAGCTAGGTGAAAGCAGGGTAAAAAGATACTTTCGTGATAGTATTAAATTACTATCATGATAGCCCTCCCAGGCCAACTTCTATGAGGCACCGTTCTTCTATCTGATCCCTGATTGAAGAAATTTTAAAGCTCACACGTCACATTCAAAGGGTACTATAAGTGTACCAAATTTCAAAAAGATCCAACGGTCGGATTAAACATTAGACATGTTACAAGTTTAGTTATTTTTGTTGTCATCACAGCTAAAAAGTTGTCATGATAGCACCTCCAGACTAATTTTTGAAGTACACCATTTCATCATCCGACCTCTGATCAAAGCGATTCCAAAGCCTATATGTCACTTTTAAAGAGTACTATTAGCATACCAAATTTTAAAAAGATCCAACAGACGGATTGAATTTCATGGATGTTGCAACATCATCACTATTGCTGTCATGACAGCTTCTTCAGACCAAATTCCAGAGTGTGCCATTTCTTTGATGTCCAATCGACATGATTCCAAAGTCCACACGAAACTTGTAAAGGGTTTTACTTGTGACCTAAATTTTAGAGAAATACAATGGTCGGATTGAGATTTAGACACCCGGATGTAAAAGTACAGTTTTTTTTGGTAAAAACTATTTTTAAAATTGTCCAAATCTCATCCTAATAGTCACGAACCTGTGAGAACACTTTAGATACGTCAAATAGGACTAAAAAAACTTGATAGAACATTTAAATGATAGAAAAATTCTTTATACCAAAATTTGACCACCCGAGTGCCATTTTCCAAAATGGACCATAAACCCTCAAAATGTACAAATCACACAAGAGTGGCCAAAAACTATTCTAAATATCATGTACACATATGAATACACACGCTAAACATTTTTACTTGGCTTAGAGATCTCTATGGGGCCCACGCACCCACTTTCTCTATCCAAGGTGTATGTTTGCCCATAGCGCACCATTTGCAATATAACCACTTTGTATTTACTTGTGGAATCACATATATACAATAAATATTTGCTTCTAGTGAAAACTTAGTCTACTAAATAAATCCATCAAAACCACACACTATACCCAAGTTTCCTAGCCACAAGTCTATAAGCAAACAAAAATTCATACACAAGCTATACAATCCACACATATTCACACACATATACATAATCATATCCTATTGGCACCCTAATTTTAAATACATTACAATAGATTTGCCCAAAAGAAAAGGGTTGCAGTTCTTTACAATTTACAAACAACCCCTAGCGCTGCTCTTTTCCCCATTCTCCACTGGTTCCTTCGCTTGGACCTGGAAATATTGAAAAAAAAGGGGTGAGACAATCACAGGCTCAGTAACAGAGAAATCTACATTGATTATTATAAAGTAATCCATAATCAAATAAATAAATAATAAATTCAACATAGTACATAATTTAGCCATTTAAAATGCATGAATGAATGACATAGGCCGGTACGGCCTTTCATGACCAACAGAATGCCTCTTGGCACTCTTTAACTCGTAGGTAAACCTCATATCCACTTGTACCTCCACAAGCACAAAACATAATCTAAGGCATGATTTAATCCATCGAACTGCCTATGCCCATTCGACGTAAATCTTAAGTAGTTGAAGCAAACTCCCTCTCAGAGCCAGCCCGACTTACTCTCCATGTAAGGGCTACCTTGGCCTAGGAACTCAACCTCACACTTTATATGTCGAATTCCCTCCCCCACTGAGAGGTGTTGAACACTTAATACACTAACCACTTTAGTGCACTGAGCCTACAATACATAAGGCAACACTGAGCACTGACAGTGTGCCATAGAATATCAAAAGTCCACACCTTCTCATTGGTGAACTCCCATCGAGATCATGCCTTTTACTCATATCTACCTTTCCCGAGTATTGACCACTTCAACACTCTAAGGCAGTATAACATTTATAAATCTCCCTTAAATGGTTC